TTGTCTCTTAGTGGTGAGAAAGGCCCTGTAAGCCTTGTGGTCCACGGACACCATATAGGGCTTGTGTGGAGGAAATTTACATGAGCAGCGATGGTCCAGTTCAAAATATGTACCAATCATGCCATTGTAACTACGGCAATCATGTTCACTAGGTCCACTCCCTGTCTTGTCTCCTATTTTTATGGCATCCCTATTTCCCACCACTTTTAAATTCGAATTTTCTTGCCTCCTATTCTTTTTTTGACTGCATTCACACATGCATGGTGTCCATATAAAAAGGGGATATTTTTTGAATTAAGCCCCTAGAAAGTACATTAGTGGCGTATCTATCGCCTCAGACGTTTTTGGCCGTCTTTCCTTACATCAGTGCACCACGTTTCATTGAGAGGACCCATCATAGTAAGTTATAGGCTGGACAACCAATTTGAAAAAGCTTTTTTGCCTGAGGCGTTTTTTTGTTATTTACACATTGTATTTTTCTGTTTTTTTTGATGGGACGAAAGTAGGGAAAACATTATTGCCACTGCTCTCCGTCCAAAATTAGGAAATGAGGTTCACATTTTGGTCTAAGGAGTTCGAAGTTTTTATGCGTCATTTGCCAAGAAACCCCAGAATTGTAACCCTTTTCGTAGCGCCGTTGCTGCTGGCCCTCGTGGTTGCGTGCGGCGGCGCGGCGCAAACGGATGAACCGACCACTGGTCAACCAGCGGCGGAACAGCCGGCAGCAACGGCAATCGCGGTCGCCACTCCGGTTTCCGCAGCCCCGGCAGATACCTCGGCGACAGCCATGGAGCAGCCGACGGGCACGCTGACCGTCGGACAAAAGGAACTTGGACCTTTCATGGGCCATCCTGCTTTGACCGGCAACCCGCAAATTTTCGTTCTGCAAACCGCTCCAATTGGTGAATCAATATTGACGGTTTCCAGCGACCTGAAACCGGTGGCCATGCTGGCCAAGAGCTGGTCGGTGTCGGAGGACGGTTCAACCTGGACTTTCAATTTGAACGAGGGTGTCCAGTTTCACAAGGGTTACGGCGAAATGACCGCCGAGGATGTCATCTGGAGTATGCGACAGTTCGGAGCACAGGGCTCCAAACATCCAAGAGCTTCCAACATCCGTGGGATTTGGGAGAACGCAGACGGGCACGCCAAAGCAATTGATGATTACACGGTAGAGGTCAATTCTGGAACACCCTGGTCAGAGGTTCCCATCAACGAGGTATTGACCAGCCCGGGCGGAGGTGGAACCTGGATCATCAGCAAGAAGCAGACTGATGAACTTGGCGCCGAAGAAGCCAATGGCCAAATCGCAGCGACCGGGTCCTGGGATTTGGTGGAGTTCCGCACCGGCGAGTTCTGGCGCATGGAAGCCGTGCAGGACCACTGGCGCAAGACTCCTCACTTCGCCGAGATGATTTTCCGGGAAATCCCGGAAGAGTCGTCCCGCATTGCCGGATTCCAGACCGGTAATTTGGACACCACCGTGATTGCCTTCGATTCCTTGTCCCTGATTCGGGAAGTTGAAGGCGCGGAGGTCATGCAACTGCCCGGCGGCGGCGAGGCAGCTCTAACTTTCTACGGTCAGTACTACGTGGGTATCGGAACTGAAAACCAACAGCCCGGTTACGATCCGGACTTGCCTTGGGTGTCCGCTGATCCTGACCTGAACTCCGACGAATGGGCGCGGGCAGCCAAAGTACGCAACGCTCTATCCATCGCTATCGACCGCCAAGGTATTGTGGACACGCTCCTGCAAGGCTTCGGTAGCCCGGCGGTGTTGTGGGACTTTGGCCAATACGAAGAGACTTGGCTGCCGCCGGAAATGCGGTGGGAATACAATCCGGAGCGCGCCAAAGAGCTTTTGGCGGAGGCCGGTTATCCTGACGGATTCAACATCACGCTCACTCCATCCCTGCGCGGCGCGCCGGTGGAAGTGGAAGCCTGCGAAGCCATCGCCACAATGTGGGCCGACATTGGCGTGGACGTAAAATTCCAGCGCCTTCCCTACACCACCCTGCGTCCCAGTCTGATTGCTCGCAACTACCAGGGTTCCACGTGCCACGCCGGTGGCATCCGGCTGGAGCCGGGACAAGGCTTCTCCGGTATGTTGTCCAAGCTGAACCACCAGGCGGTATGGAACCGCGGCGTCGAGCATCCTTGGCTCGATGAAAAGGTTGCTGAGCACATGGCACAGGTTGACACGGCCAAGCGTCGTGTGTTGGGCGTTGAAATCGCCACGTTTTTATGTGTTTCGACATGCGCTTACCCGATACCGGTGTCGACTCGACAACTTTTGTGTGACGTGGTTTGGGCCAGTCGGTCTAAGATTACACCTTGGTTGGTCCGAAGGCGTTCGGTACCGTGACCTGCGGAACATCAACGGCTACGAGTACATCAAGCCCAGGTAACGGGTCAGTTAATCCAAAATGAGGTGGGCCAGAAACACAACCACAGGGTGGCGCAAGTCTGGAATTTCAGTCATTGCGCGCACCTTGGTGGGTCTCCCGCTGGCGGCGGTGCTTGGCATCGTCGGTATGGCGATAGCGTCGGCGATGTCCGTATTCTTCGGCGTCTCCGCTCTGCCTACCCTGCTCCTGCTGCTCGCTATTGGCGCCGGGATCGGTGCCGGCATCGGCGGAGGGGCCATGTTGATCAGGGTGGACGCAATTCCACCCTGGCCCGTCGTGCTGGCGATTGGCGTGGGGATTCCCCTGGTCAGTGCCGGAGGCGCTTGGGCGGGCCTCGAAATTGGTGACAAAATCACCGCAATGCAGGAGATGAACTGCGTTGGTGTGTGCGATTACTTTTTTAAGCCCAGGACGTACATGGCCCTCGGCGCCACCGTGGTATCCAATGCCGTAGCGTTGGCAATCAACATTGGTTACGAAGTGCGAGCGGGCGGTTGGGATCGGCCCCGCTTCCGGCCCGACGGTACCACCGCGGGCGCCTCGGGCGATGCCGAGCGACGCGCGTAACAGGAACACTTCACCTGAGCTGGTTCAGGCACACAGGTTGGGCTAAGCAGCGGGTTAACCTCCAGGCTTTGCGCTCGCAGCCGCGTATCTGACCCAAACTGCAAATTCATAACAGAAACGGTTTCTGAGGTAGTGCAATATGCAGCGGTACTTGTTAAGGCGCGTTTTGCTGGCGTTGTTGACCCTGCTAGCCGTGTCCATGATTATTTTTGTGATGAGCCGGGCGGCCGGCGACCCTAGGCACGTCTATCTGGACGATTATTCTACCCAGGAAGACTGGGATCGGCTCACCGAAAGCTTGGGGCTGGACAAGCCATATTACCAGCAGTACGGCATATTCCTGGTCGACGCACTGAAGGGCAACTTCGGCGAATCGATCAAGGAAGGACGGCCATCGATGGAGGTGATCATCGAACGGGTGCCGGCTACTCTGCAATTGGGTGTCGCGGCGTTCGCCTTCTCCGTAATAGTGGGAATGCCATTGGGCATTCTTTCGGCCGTCAAACGGGGGAGTTTTCTGGATATCGCCGGAAAAATGATCGCTCTGGTCGGGCAATCGGCCCCGGTATTCTGGTTGGGCCTGATGTTGGTGTTCCTGTTCGCAGTGCGGTTGGAGTGGCTCCCGCCGTATGGCCGGCTGGAAGTTACCAGCATCATTTTGCCGGCCGTGGCCCTCGGCTGGTTCTACGCGGCGGCTAATCTTCGCCTGCTGAGATCTGCCATGTTGAACGTGCTGGAATCCGAGTACGTAAAGCTGGCCCGCGCTAAAGGCGTGTCCAACCAGACGGTCATCTGGAAGCATTCCCTCCGCAACGCCCTGGTTCCCGTGCTCACCTTCGCCGGCGTTACCCTGGGTAGCCTGGTTACCGGTTCGCTGGTGGTTGAGACCGTATTCGCCTGGCCTGGATTGGGCCAACTGGCGATTCAGGCGTTGGCGGGTAACGACTACCCGCTGTTGCAGGCGGTGGTGATAGTGTTCACACTGATGTACGTGGTTGTGGCCCTGTTGGTGGACATCATGTACGCTTACATTGATCCCAGAATCAGGTACGCTTAATACAGGAGCGCACATCGTGGCAAACGTTACACTGGTTGTACAACCGGCGCCGGTGCCGGTCCGCATCGCTAGAAGAGCGTGGCAGTGGCGGCGCTTGCCGTTGATTCCCGTGTTCATCTTGGTGGTTTTTGTGGTTACGGGCGGTCGCAGCCCCCTGGATTGCTCCCCACGACCCTGAGCGAGGAGACCTGCGCGCCCGCAACGTGCCTCCGGCGTGGGAGGAAGGCGGCCAGTCGGAATTTCTGCTGGGCACCGATCATCTCGGTCGCGACCTGCTGAGTCGAGTTATTTTTGGAGCTCGCAATCGCCCTCGCGGTGTATCATAACGTGGGCGTCGTCATGTTCTGCGCGCGCATCACCCGGCGCTTGGTGCAGGTGGCTCGGTGGGTGCGGGATGAACTGCTGATGAGGATAGTGGACATCAAGCTGGCCATTCCCACCATATTATTAGCCTTGGTGCTGAGTGGCGCTGCAATCCTCAGTATCATCGTGTGTCCTTCTGCTACGCCGTGCTGGTTCCCCGGTTCGCGCGAAATGTGCGGGGTGAAGTGCTCCAGATCAAAACCATGGACTTCGTCGCTTTGGCCCAGGTCGCCGGTGCGTCGACACCACGCATCCTTTTCATCCACATTTTCCCGCAGGTGGTCAACACGCTGATTATCCTGGCCACTCTGGAAGTGGGTATTGTCATCCTGTTGGAGTCTACCCTGAGCTTCCTTGGAGCCGGGGTGCCTCCGCCGACACCAGCCTGGGGGTCGATGGTGGCGGATGGCCGGGACCGCTTGGCAGTAGCTTGGTGGAATTCTACGATGCCCGGCGTGGCTATCATGTTGACCGTTTTGTCAATGAACCTGTTCGGAGACTGGCTGAGGGACCGCCTGGACCCTAGGCTTCGTCAACTGAACTGATTTCGACAGGTTGGCGATTGCCACCGAGGGTGTTGCCAGGATCGCAAATAGGCGGGAAGTATGCAGACCAATACAACAAACGATGACGCCCAGGTGGTGCTGGAAGTTGAAGATCTCAAAACCTATTTTCAAACTCGCTGGGGAACGGTCAAAGCGGTTGACGGTGTCAGCTTCGATCTGCGGCGCGGCGAAACCCTGGGCATAGTGGGCGAATCGGGTTCTGGCAAGTCGGTGGCCATGCTGTCATTGATGCGCCTCATCCCCACGCCACCCGGGCAAATCGTGGGAGGCAAGATACTCCTGGAAGGCGAAGACCTGCTGCAACTGTCCGAAAAGGAAATGGGCAATGTCAGGGGTAGTCAGATAGCGCTGATCATTCAGGATCCCATGACCTCGCTGAACCCGGTTTTTACCATTGGCAATCAGGTGGGCGAGGCGATCAAGATTCACCAGGAAATACCCAACAGCGGTGTATTGCAGCGGGTATTGGACGTCCTGCGGAGGGTCAACATACCAGCTGCAGAAACTCGGGTTCGGGACTACCCTCACCAGATGAGCGGCGGCATGCGTCAGCGCGTGGTGGGGGCCATCGGCATTTCCTGCGAACCGATGGTCCTGATTGCGGACGAGCCGACGACTTCGCTGGATGTGACCATCCAGGCCCAATACCTGAAGCTGCTGAAAGACCTGCAACAGGCGTCGAACATCGCGCTCATCTTCATAACCCACGATTTCGGCATAGTAGCCAAAATGTGCGACCGCGTGGCTGTGATGTATGCTGGCAAGATTGTGGAAATGGGAGATGTGCGGGAGATATTCAACAACCCGTCCCATCCCTATACGGAGGCCCTGCTGGCTTCTGTTCCCAAACTGGAAGAGGACGTGGACCGCTTGTACTCCATTGAGGGCCAACCACCGATGCTCCACGACCTGCCACCTGGTTGCCCTTTCGCCCCTCGGTGTCAGTACGTAATGGACCGTTGCCTTGAGGCGTACCCCCCGACAATATCGCTAACGGAACGCCACTACGCGGCGTGTTGGAGGCTCGAATGACCACGGTTGTGCCCACGGTTGGACGTAACCGGGAAACTAACCCGGAAGCCGAAGTAATACTCGAAGCCCAGGATCTGAAGAAATATTTTCCGGTTACCAAAGGCCTGTTGGTGTCTAAGGTGACGGGATGGATCAAGGCGGTGGATGGCATATCATTCCAGATTCGCGCCGGAGAGACCTTGGGTGTCGTCGGTGAATCGGGTTGCGGCAAGAGCACCACTGCCAAGATGCTGCTGATGCTTGAGGAGCCCACCGAAGGTATCATCAGGTTCCAGGGCAGAGACGTCCACAACGCCACCCACGCGGAGCGCCGGGAATACCGGAGTTCGGTGCAGGCAGTTTTTCAGGACCCCTGGAGTTCGCTGAATCCCAGAATGCGCGTCAGGGACGTGATCGCCGAACCCATGATCATTAATCTCAACATGAGCCGGCGAGACGTACAGGACCGAGTCGCCAAGTTGCTGAATGACGTGGGGTTGAGTAGCTACCATGCCAACCTGTATCCGCACGAATTCAGCGGTGGACAGCGGCAGCGGCTCGCAATTGCGAGGGCGTTGTCGGTGGAACCCAAGTTGATAGTACTGGACGAGCCGGTTTCGGCGCTGGACGTGTCAATCAGGGCCCAGATCATGAACCTGCTGAAGGACTTGCAGCACGAGTATCAAGTTAGCTATATGCTCATAGCGCACGACCTGGCGACGGTGCGGTATATGTGCGATTGGGTCGCCGTGATGTATTTGGGGCAGATTGTGGAGTTCGCACCCAAGACGCAGTTATTCAATAACGCGTCGCACCCTTACACCAAGGCCCTGATGAGCGCAGCCCTGCCGTCTCATCCGGATATTCAGAAGGAAGAGATGATATTGACGGGGGAGGTACCTTCTCCGTTGAACCCTCCCGAGGGATGCCGCTTCCATCCGAGATGCCCGGTCGTGATGGAGCGCTGTTCCCACGAAGTGCCGCAGTTAAGGGAAATGTCCCCGGGCCATGCAGTCTACTGCCACCTGTACTAATCGCAGGGACAGTCGGCACGAAAACGAACCCCTCACCGGGTCGCGGCAGGTTGAGATGGTGAGCCCGATGGGAGCGGGCCGAATGCCCGCAATTCATCGCGGCGTAGTACCGGTTGAACTCAGATTTGACGCAATCAGCGTGGACGTTGCTGTCCACGCTGATTGGCGGTGGGGGGGGGGGTGGGGGGGGGGAGGGGGGTTGGTTTTGGCTTATGGTGTTTTTTTGTTTTTTTTTGTTTTTTTTGTTTTTGTATGTTTTTTTTTGTTTTTTGTTTTTTTTTTTTTATTTTTTTTTATTTCTTATTTTATTTTTTTTTTTTTTTTTTGGTTTTTTGTTTTTTTTTTTTTTTTTGTTGGTTATTTTTGTTTTTTTTTTTGTTTTTTTTTTTTTTGTTTTTTTATTTTTTTTTTGTTTTTTTGTTTTTTTGTTTTTTTGTGTTGGTTTGTGTTTGATTTTTTTTTTTTTTTGTGTTTTTTTGTTATGTTTGTTTTTTTTTGTTTTTTTGTTTTTGGGTTTTTTTTTTTTTTTTTTTTTTTTTTTTTTTTCTTTGTTTGTTTTTTATTTTTTTTTTTTTTGTTTTTTTTTTTGATTGTTTTTTTTTTTTTTTTTTTTGTTTTTTTTTTTTTTTTTTTGTTTTTGTTTTTTGTTTTGTGTTTTTTTTTTTGTTTTTGGTGTGTGTTTTGTGTGTGTTTGTGTTTGTGTTTTTTTGTGTGTATTGGGTTTTGGTTTGTGTGTGTTTGTATTTTTTGTTGGTTTTTTTTGTTGGTTTGTGGTTGTGTTTTGTTTTTGTTGTTGTGGGGGTTGTTTGTTGTTTTGGTTTTTGTGTGTTTTGTGTTTGGTGTTGTTGTTTGTTTTTTTTGTTGTGTGTGTGTGTTTTTGTGTGTGTGTTTTGTGTTTGTTGTGTGTGTTGTTTTGTTGTTGGTGGTTTTGTGTTTTTTTGTTTTTTTTGTTGTGTTTTGTTTTTTTTTGGGTTGGGGTTTGTTTTGTTGTTGTTTGGGTGTTTGTTTTTGTTTGTTTTTTGGGATTTAGTTTTTATTATTTTGTTTGGTTGTTTTGTTTTTGTTGGTTTTTGATGTTTTGTTGTTGTTTGTTTTTTTTTGTTGTTGTTTTATGTGTTTTATGGTTTTTTGGTGTTTTTTTTTTTTTTTGTGGTTGTTTGTCTATGTTTGTTTGTTTGTTGTTTTTTTTGTGGTTGTTTTTTGTTGTTTTGTTGTTTGTTTTTGTTTTTTTTTGGGTTGTTTGTTGTTGTTGTTTGTGGTTTTTTTTTGTTTTTGGTTTTTTTTTGTTTGGTTTGTGCTTTGCCCCACTAGCGTGTCCTGCGTCACCAAGTCGGTTCAGTTGCTCAACCGGCGCCAAGCTGCCACCCATGATCGACTGTGGTGTGTGTGCTACCAGAAGCGCTATGGTGGATCGGGCAATGGCGTAATGTAACCCATTGGGCCACTGGCTTTCTCGCCTGAGTCTTCGCGAACGCCGTAGACAAGACATCGACCGGGCTTCGTGGGAACCGCTATCAGGAGCGTTGGCGCTTAGTAGTGCCGCAGCTCTACGACGTTGTTATCTGGATCGTAGATGTACAGGGAAATGCCGTCGCCGTGAGAACCCCAACGCTTGCCCGGCCCGGCCTGAATCTCAACGCCCAGGTCTTCGAAGTGAGCCTTCAGTTCCTCCATATCGGTGTAGTCGATAACCATGCAGAAGTGGTCCTGATTCCGAGCATCGTCCCGGCTCGCCGGGATGTTTTCGGAGGCGAAAAAGTCGATGATGGTGTCGGCGTTTATTCGCGCCGACGGGAAGCGCACTTCTCCAGCCCTCCATTCCTCCACTCGCTCGGCCTGTAGTCCCAGCACCTCAGTATAGAAGCGCAGCGAACCTTCAACATCGTTGGTGCGCAGAACGATGTGGTCCATTTCAGTGATCTTCACCAGGGGTTTGGTCAGCATCTCGAACTTGGTTACGGTTGCCATGCGCGGCCTCCTCAAGTGTTGCGTCTCTCTTGCGGTAGTGTTTTATCGGCATTATATGGCTCGCTCCGTCACTTGTCATCCGCGAGTGCGTAGCATCCTGTCCACAAGGATCGGGAAGCTTCCGCGCTGGGAATGCTGCAACGCCAGCTGCCAACAGCGGTTTTGCGCCATGTCACGCATCCGGTTTGGCATGTCCGCCGAACGAACCCGTCACGTAAAGTCCCGCATGAACCACCTTAGAGACGCAATATCTTTCCACTATCAAGCCGATTTCCACGTTCAACCTGAGCCTGTCGAAGGGCGCCCACCCGTGTTTCCCCATGCTCGCCATCAACCCGCAACGCAGATGGCTGCCGACAATAGGATTACCCTGGGCCGATACGCGGGGCCTTTCGATTATCGGAACGTAGCGGCCAAAGGTGAGTTGGGGACAGCGTCGGTGAATAGGGCTACGAGATTGCCACGCTGCGCTCGCAATGACATTAGGTGTCCCGCGTCAAGCATTCTTGCCGGTTCGCATTGCCTCACCTAAAACGTTACTCAACGGAAGTGGTTGCCTCAATTAAAGTGTTACCCAAAACGGGGAGGCGATCGCGTGGGAGGAGGCATCAGCAAGATGGCAAAACAGGAATTGCTGGCGACGATCCGAGACCGCTACTGGGCGTCGTCCAAGAAGGACAAGAGCCGGATCCTCGACGAGTTCACCGCGGTGACCGGTCACCATCGCAAGGATGGCATCAGGTTGCTTGGCAAGCTTGACGATGATGGAGACCCGTCGCATTCCGTGCGAGGCCGGCGCATCTACGATGAGGCCGTCAGAGCAGCGGTGATCGTGATCTGGGAAGCCGCCGACCGGATCTGCGGGAAACGCCTGAAGGCGACGCTGCCCCATCTGGTGGAGTCCATGGAGCGCCATGGCCACCTCGCTCTCGACCCCGAGGTACGGGGTCGACTGCTGGCTGCCAGTGCCGCCACCCTGGACCGTCTCCTGAAACCGATCCGTCCCACTGCGGGCAGCCGGCGCAGACGCCGGCGTAAACAGTCGATGGGAAAACGCATTCCGGTACGTACCTACTCCGGTACGTACCTACAATGACTGGGACCGGCCGCCGCCGGGCTTTCTGGAGATTGATCTGGTGGCCCACTGTGGCGGTCCTTTATCTGGGTCATTCATCCACAGCCTGGTAGCCACCGACATCTGTACCGGCTGGACCGAAACCGTGCCCCTTCTGGCCAGGGAGCAGTCCCTGGTGGTTGCGGGTCTGGGAGCCATCGGGCAGCGGTTGCCCTTCCGCATCCGGGGTATCGACTCGGACTAATGCTGAGTGGGTAATGACGGCGCGTTCATCAACGAGACGCTGATCCAGTACTGTACCGACCATGGCATCGAGTTCACCCGGTCCCGCGCGTACCGCAGCAACGACCAGGCCTGGACCGAGCAGAAGAATGGTTCCGTGGTACGGCGCTTCGTCGGTCACGACCGTTACTCGGGCCAAGTCGCCGGACAGACCATGGCGCACCTTTACGAGGCGTTGCGTCGGTACGTGAACTTCTTCCAGCCTTCATTCAAGCTGATCGACAAGACCCGGGACGGCGCCACCACCGTCAAGCATTACAGTCAGCCCACCACGCCCTGCGACCGGCTGATCCAGCACGACGCAACCAGGGATGAAATGAAAGACGCACTGAAGGAGTACCGGGCCAGGTTGGACCCGGTGCTGTTGCTGCATACCATTCGTGAAGCCAGTCGGCCCTGGTGGCGGCGACTGCTCCGGAAGTGCTGGAAACGCCAACAGGTGAAAGCCTGGTAGTGTCCCGTCA